CACCATCAGTCCATCAAATATTAGATATTTTCCATTCATAATTCTAGGTCCTTCTTTCTTTCAGTATCATCTGCATTTACGACTTAATACATTTCTATACACCAATGCTTTACCAAATTTATATCTCTAGCCTTGATCTTCCCTCTGGGTGCCAAAACCATTTAATAATCTGTGATTTTACAGAGTTTTATTGAGTTCCTTCTATGTGCCTGACACTGTTTTAGGCAGCAAATAGAGTAGTAACAAGACAGGCAAGGTCCCTGTTTTCATGGGATATATTGTAGAAAGACATAAAATACACCATTGTCTATATCAATAGAATAATTTCAAATAATTTCTACAAAGAAAAAAATAAGGGTGATAAAATAAGGAATGGCAAGAGGATAGATAACTTTAAATTGGGAGGTCAAAGAAGGTCCCTTGGAGAAGGTGACATTAAAGCTGGAGGTTCAAGTGGAACAGGAGTCCCTCATTATAAAGGGTGCAGAGACAGCATTCTAGCAAGAGCAAAAACAGTTTCCTTGAGATCCATATTAACTTGCTATGTTCAATAAACAGAAAGGAAGCTGGCGTGGCTGGAGGAAATGAAGTGAGTGAGCTTGGAGTGTGACAATGAATAAAAGACTAAATTTCACAGATTTTTAAGGCATACGTCTCTGAAATCAAGACTGTGTCTTAAAATCAATTGCATATTTCAGTTATTAGTGGTCAGACAGCAGTTGTTGCCATTGCCTTAGAAATACTTTACAGATTTCATATATCACTTTCATTTAAAAAGTGATATATGCAAACTCTTTAATTGATATATGATCAAATCTCAAAGTCTGCAAGACAAACCTGAAAATTCAAAGCAAGTACGTTGTCATACATTTCCTTCTGATTAGTACCTAAAATAATGTGTCACTTACAATAATGAAGTCTTACATCCAGTGAAATGCAATAATCTGACTTAAATGTTCAAAAGATCTCTCCCTTGTGTGGAGCATTGATTACGGTAGACAAGAGTGGAAAGAAGTGGACCATAAGGACACTGGTGTTGAATAATGGCAAATAGAAGACCGAGAGAAGCTGAGGTATTTGGGATATATCAGAGGGGTAACAAGACTTTTTGGTAGATTAGGTAAAAACCAGGAGGGAGAGAAAAAAGCCAAAGATATTTCCAAGGTTTCTAGTTATGGAACTAGTCATTCACTGATTTGATAAAAATTAAGAAACATGTATACAGGGGTTGGGGATTGTGGGAAAATTTAAGTAGGCAGTTGGATTGTATCATTGCCTCATTTCACCTATTATCGTCTCAGGCAAGGTTTACTGACCCCATTCACAATGGGTAGGCTATTCCCCCTGTTATATACTACAGTTACTTAAGCTTTGTTCAGAATCAGCATTTGTGATTCATTGTTATTCCTCCTCTTACCTCTACCACTGGGCTGTTGGCTTCATAAGGCAGGACATGTAGAAGATCTTGTCCATTGTTTTACTCCCAGCACAAGCACAGTGCTGGGGACAGATTATGTGTTCAGCAAATATTTGTTCATCATATAAATACACTAATCCTCATTTTTTCTTTCCATCCTTTCTTTTTCAAAGTGCTTGGTCATTGACTAACACCCATTCTGCTAGACAGGAAACCACAGCTCTATTGTAGCCAAGAGTTCCTGCAATGTTAAAATTAAAAAAAAACAAAACAACAAAAAAAACCCTACAAGATGAAACAAAAATGTGCCAGAATAATCTTGAATAAACTAGAAAAAAAGCTGTAACAAACATAAATACTATTTTACCAAGAAGTATTATAAAATTCCAAGAATGGTAGGAAAGAAAAAAACCTAATATGAGTTTATTCTAAATCAACCAGATTTTTTCATAAACAAATGCAAATATTTATTTGGGAAGCTTTCTTCTTTATATTCACATACTGATCCTCATATTTCACATTCAGTTTGATTAAATATTGATTGTGTACTTGCTATAGAGACTGCTAGCTCTGAAAATAAGGTCCTATATGCAAAAAGATACTATAGATTCATTATAGTTATTATGCAGTGTCCTAAGTGCAGTGAACAGAATTCAAAGAGACCTATAGGAGCAGTTAGATGGGCCACCTAATTTCACCTGAGAATGCTGCCTGGAGTTATTATTAGGGGTGAAAGGAGACAATGACGGCAAAAGAAGACCATTGCTAGTCAGAGGGGCAAATGGAAGAGAGGTGGGTTTAAGAAACAGCATATATTGGACCAGAGAACTACTTATTTGAATAGGCAAGAAGTGGCAGAAGATGAAGTTGGGGAGGTAAGCAGGAGCCAGGTCTAGGATGGCATCATATGACTAACTGGGTGACAAATCTGATTGTATTCTGGAGGCAACCAATAGCCTGTGAAGCTTCATGAACTGGGAAGTGAACTAGTCACTCCTATCCTCTCACTTGTGATAAGAGACTACCTCCCAAGGGAGTATAAGGTAGGAGCTGAGAGCTATGACTCTAAAGCCATCCAGCTTGGACTTGAATCTACCCTGAGATTTGTTAGCTAAGTGATCTTAGGTAAACTACGTAATCCCTCTGTAAGGAAATAATGATAGAATCTTATTCTTCTTTATGGAGTTATAGTAAAATTAAATGAGTGAATATATTCACTCACAACAGTAGAGTACTAGGAACAGATGCCATGTAAGTGTTTGCTACTAATAGTATTATTATTATTTGCCAATCAAATTAAAATGTGAAAGACTTCTTTTGACCTTATCAAGGGTTTTCAGCAGTACTGTGTCCATAAGTGAGGGACCTAGGTTTTCTCTAATGCCATTGTCATTTGCATGGCCTAATGAGTAAGGAATCTTGGTAATGGAAAGGATTACTAAAAGAGCACCGCAGGCTCTCCAGGATCTCAAATGATAGAATCTCTACGTGCAGTTGGTGCTTTTCTATAGAAAGAATTTAGGATTATTTCTGTTGGAAAATCCACAGGATAAAGATCTGTTCAGTGAATTATACCCTTAATATCCTGTTTTCCCATAGCACATATTAAAATTTTTTAAAGTCTGATAGATATGTTAGTGTTTACTCCTTATAGGGAATATTCCTTAGATGCAGGAATTATTATTATTTTTGAAATTCTGTGTATCTCAGAGCCTAGCACAGTGCTGGGGTATGATGGGCAAATTATAAATAATCATCAAAAAAAAGTGCTCCCAAGCTTTGAAAGCAAGGACTTTGGATGAAACAACTAACATTTATGTAAAAACTAGTATTTATCAAACTATTAGTTACTAGTTCTAATTATGACACAACTGTATGACACTTTCTATATGGTATGTAAAATTTAAGTGCTATTTTAATTTGAATTGTCTGTTTGTTATGTTTATTATATTTCCCTTTCTATTAAATATTCCTAGCTATAACATCTCTGAAAATCTCACAATCATTTTCCAAGAATGTCCATGAGTTTTATTGTAAGTACTTTTGAAAAAGTTAATTGCAGCCTCTAATAAAATATGATTAACAGAAATGATGTATTCAAGTGATTTAGAAAAAGCTCTCAATAAGTGACAGTTCTGATTATTATTTAATAGACAAAATCTTGTTGTCCCCCAAAATGAGAAAGAATACATGTCTATTAAATGTCCTTTTAAATGGCAAATCTACTTGTCCCAAAGTGAACATTTTGTCATCTGGACCATTTGTTTTACAGCAAGCTGGGATTGTTCCAAAGTCCACCAAGTGAATACAATTTTAGTGACAATCAGATTTACTTGCATATTTTTTAAAAAATTCTATAACTTTTGAAATATAGTAACAAGTAGCCTTGAATAATAAATAACTTAGAAATAAGTAAATTCATTGGCTTGTATTCCTCGCAGTGTCTCTCTTCTTCTCATCTTTATATCAGCAACAGCTTTAACCAAATGCCTTTCACATAGCAGGTATCAACTTCTGTTTTTAACTTGATTTCATTATTAACAAAATGTTTAACTCCATTTTGCTCCCAAGACATGTCTAGTGTCTTAACTTTGTTGTATTACATGTAAAAATTTGTAAGTTTAGTTTTTTTAACACTAAGCTTCTAGTATTCTAAACATACAGATGACTCTAAACATTAAATGAATAAAATATTGACCCACCCAGATATTTTTTCCTTGTTTGTTTTAATTTGGTTTCACTCCTTTAAAAATCCTCTTTAACAAGACTCCTTTAAATTTATTTTATTATTTTATTTCAAGCATTCAAACTGCTCTAACTTTAAATCAAAATTAATTTGAAAAATAGGTTTTCTGATGCATCACATTCGTGATGACAACTCAAAATATAACATTAATAGCAAAATTTGAGTTGTTGAGCACCTATTCTGCAAGGAGCATGCATCTAAGCACATTTTATTTATTTCAATCTGAACAATAACCCTGCAAAGTTTTATTTTCATTGACATTCCCTGTATTATATCTGTGGTTTACATAAGAAGAAACGGGGGTTCAGGGAGATCAGTTAAATTGCTCAAAGTCATGGAACTAGACCATACTGAAGCCAGGATTGCACCCCTGCTGTGCTTAGTTCAATCTTTGATAACCGTATACTTTTTATAATACTGCTATTCCAATTTTCAAATCTGTTCATGCCTCAGTTTTATTGTTTTTTTTTCTTTCATATTGTGGATATGGTTGGGAACACAATCAACATATCTTCGAGCTGAATTCAACAAACTAACAGCCACTGTGGTGTTACTTTGCTTGCAATGGCTATTATTCTAAGTAAAACCACCTCCATGAGTGAATAGAAAAGTGAATGATTATTTCAGTTAAAACAAAATTGCTGCATTTTATTTGTTCATTTTTCCTTATTAGATAAATTAGCAATCACCTTATCTAACTGAAATGGTGAAATTATAAATGTGATCCAAGTGCATCTGGAATTTGAAATAATTTTCTGGGAGTGAGGTAAATTTCACTTGCAATTTTCTAGACCTGATAGACAGAACTGAAAACAAAAGGAAAAGAAGATTTCTTACTTTCCTCTAGTTGTTTCGAAACTTGATTTTTGGTAGTCAGTTCTTCTGCTGGGACTGCTGTCACCCCTGCTGAGGTATGTTTCCCGTGGGCCTCGATTTCCAGTGCCTCCACTGCCTCCAACGCCTCCACTGCCTCCATCACCTCCAACCGCCTGTAGAGAAGTTGCTTGTTCATTTGACTTTCCGGCAAAGCTCTGAAGAAAGTTCAGTGTAGAATTGGAAAGGACCGCTGATTCTGCTCCAGGATTGAACTTGGTGCTAGATTTGGTTGGGAGGGTAAGATTTTGGAACTTGACCGCTTCTTCTGCTTTCTCTGTGGATGTGAGAGTTTGGTTTCTCACACCCTCAGCAGGTGCACTTGTCTCTGAGGGAGGCAGTGTTGATTTAAGAAGACTCTCTTCAGAAGTTCTTGCCTCTGGAGTTGTAACTATCTCTGCTGACATGACCTGAGTGGTTGGCAGTATTTGCAAACGTTGTATTTTATTTGAAGGAACTGAAGCAGAGGTCGTAGTCTTCTGGGAGTTTCCATCGTCAAGTATAGTCCAAGAATGCTTACTGTTGTTAAGTCCAATGCCCCCACTCCATAAACTAGAAAGCAGGACAAATAATCTTGCCCCCTTCATCTCAGTAGTTTGAAGCAAGGAAGCTTATGTGAAATTTGGGGACAAAGTCCGTGTGGCCTTTTTGATAGCTGCTTCCACACTGAACCTGCTAAGACCGAGCTTTGCCAATTTGAGATGTGTAGAGGAAACAGGTTTCTGTGTTTTGTAGTGGACTCAGGAAGTTCAATTTCCTGTTTCAGAAGGGTTTTTGTGATCTGTGACCTCTAGTGGGATGGCTCTATGGCAGTGCTGAAGGATCTCTGACAAAGCTAAGGGTAAATGGGAAAACACAGGTAATTATTATCATAAATCCATGAGAAAAACATGCAGTAACTTTCTTTTCCTGAGCACACCCATGTTTCATGTTTCACTGATTTCAAAGAGAAATTTCAGTTTCACCACAGAGAGTGTACACTTTTGTTTATATAGGCTGATGCAGGAGTTTAACATTTTGTTCTACTACATAAAGACACTGAGAAAAAAATGTTTTGATACTTCTTATCTGCTACACTATATCCAAAGAGCTGCATTTTGTTCAAGTGCCTATCCATGTGCATACACATAATCAAAAGCTTGTTTATAATGTCTCTATTCTTTCATACAGGATATATACCTTAAGTTATAAAATATCTCTCCATCTATTTATCTATCTACATATATATCTCCCTATTTTTATAAATACACTTCAGCTGTGTTATTACTTTACCAGGAACTCATTTTAAATTTTGCTCCTGGAACTTCTACCAGAGATACCCGCTAATGGAATAAATAATCAGAATTTTACTCCCTTTATTTTCCAATCCTGATTGTCTAGTAGTTGGGGGTAATCAATATTTTACCAGTAAGGGATGAAGAAAAAGTGAAGTCACATAAAAATAAATTAAAATGAGATCATATGGAATGCTCTTATACTTTCACTGTAGGACAAAATTATACTAGTTATAAGTAGCAGATAACTATATTTATCAAAGAATTTTCTATGGTTTTCTTTTCTGGTAGAGATGCTTCATGAGATTTATGATTTAATCTCTCCAGCAAATCTCTGATCCTCAGACTTCAATTAACCTCTCTCATCTATAAAATTTCATAGCAGACTGTTTAGATGTATAAACTAAATTATAACAGTTCATTCATTCACTAATTCATTTATTTGTGTATTCATGCATTCAGTAGTTACCTATTACCTCATTCTGTGCAAAGTACTCTCTTATGTGCATGTGCTAGGACTATAAAGAAAAGCAAAAATATTCTTTGCTGTCAATTTGCTAATTGTTATGTTATTTGAAAGCTAGATCCATGTGTAACCAATCTTTCTGTCAACTTCTGTGCCAGGCATTAAGCTCTTGCTAAATATTCAGTCACTAATTATTAAACTATTATTAGATTTTATTATTTTATTAGATTATTGAATTCCTTCTTTCAAAATTAGAGAATTGGAAATCCAATGCCTGCTTGGTTATGTTTTACGTTAGATATTTTCTCTAGTCCTTATTCCTTGACACAGTATACCAGGATTTGAAATAAGGCCTAATTCTTCCCTGAGCTATAACTACTTGGGATTAATATTTGTTTCTTCCCTCAATCTTAGCCATTTATTTCCATAAGTGTACTGTAGACCTATTAGAGAGTTTATAATGTGGGGTTATTTAAACTAAGACAATATTCAGCAACCCCAATTGACTTTGATGTGAAGTACAAAGCATCTGTTTCTCAGATATACCACAGAACAATCCACAAACGCTGCCTTAGTACAAGAGCAAAAGGTCCAACACAGACAATCCAGGAAGCAATTAGTTAATAAAAAAGAGCAATGAAACTGCACAACTCCAATACAAATATGGTTTTCAGTACAAAGAAAAAGGCGTTACAGTGTCTTTACCCGGAAAAGACAGAAGAAACTAGCTTTGGTTTATAGAAGAGTAATAATTTCATAAAATTTAGGAAAACATTCCTATTTATATGCAATTTTACAGAAATTTTCCTAGATTTAGTAAAAACAGATGAATAGAGTGTCTTGAAAATTTATAAAACTACCAGAATAATCACATTTATTGATTTTTTTTTTCTTCTACAGTTTGAAACTCTGTTAAAACCTGGTCTGGCAAGTAAACTTTGGTGGTAAAAGGTCACCCATTGGATCTATAACTGATAACAAATAGTTATCCAATGATAATAAAAACTAAACAAAGCAAAGCAATTCATTCTACCTCTTATAAGGTATTGACCAATAATGACTTTTGCTCATCCCCATCCTAGCTTACAAGTGACCCTGCGATCAAAAGGCTAAAGGTTCTGTATCTCACTATTGATCTACTAAGCTATCTTGCACTTTTACTCCCCAGTGAATCCCAAGCTCATTTAGTGATTTTCAGTGTATGGATCAGCCCTTAATTAGAGATATAAAATACTCCAGAAACTGCTAGAGGCTTAATCTCAAATTCTGCTGTCTGAGACTAATTAATACTCATCAAATAACAATTAAGAAAAATAATATTACTGAGATGACTGGCTGAAGAGTACTCAGTTCATTCATACCTCTAGATACTCTAAATACTATTGCTGAATTAAACGATATCATCAGTTTTGTATACCTGGACGCTGTCATTTTGCTATACTTCCCATTTCCCACTTGGTTGTTTATAGTAAATTATGTTTTACAATCTTGCCATTTGTTCACTATTAATATTTTATAATATTAAAAATAATGAAATTTATTCTATTATGTGCGATCAGATTTTTCTGTCATTTTTCATTGTATCATAAACATAGGATACACTTTATACCAAAAAATGGGTCATCTGTAAATGATGAGATAATGGGTTTGGTTTTTTTCTCCCTTATAATCCATATGAATTAATTTTTTTCACCACAAGAAAAAAAACAACAAAAAAAGATTTAAGTTGAAAGACAAATGTGAATTAAAAGACAATCTTAGATTGAGGAGTTCACTGTAGATGGTGCTGTGTATTATTCAAAGCATTTTTATAGCTGCAAGAATTATTATTCTTTGTAAAATGTTGGGAGTATGGGCTAACTTCTGCCAGATTAGTAGGATTTTTCAGCAGCTGTTTTATTTTTCACATGAGAAATTCCTATTTTCTTAAAATAGTTTAAAACATCGCAAATAAGATTTCATTATAGCCTTTCTCCATAAAACGTGTCTGTCAAAAATAATTAAGGAAAACAAATTTTTAAGCCTTACAATTTAACATTGTTTGAAAAATATTGAAACCTTGTTTAATTTACATGTGAACAAAGGGAGTTATCAACATACAGCAAAAGGGCTGGAGAAAAAGGAAAACTGATATCTGCTTGATTTGGATAATTTGATGTGCTAAGTAAGTTAAATCTGGCATATTATTTAATTCTTACAGAGATGTTAGGTAAGCATTCTATTCTCATTATACTCATGGGAAGTTAAACTTAAAGAAGCTAAATAACTTCCTAGGGTAACACATTAGTAATTGATGGAACAGGTATTTTTGTTCAATTCTGATTCAAAAGGCATTGAATAAATATTTGTTGAATGAGTGAATGAATGAATGGATGAGCTATGAACATACTCTTATGTATAGTAACAATGCATGGGTTGAAGAGAGCTCTATTTCACATTCCTATAGCCACACAAAAGAAAAAAAAGTAATCTAAGTAAATATAATGAACTTCTTCCAGGAACACAACTTCAAAAGCCTTCTGAAATACCCTTTCAGTCAGATTGACTCCTGTAAGTTCCTCCCAAAGAAAATTCAAAAAGCCTTGCTTCTACATTATCTATTCTCAAAATAAATATGAGAAGGTTTATTTTGAAGCCATCACAGCCACGTTAGAATAATAAACCTAAGAGCTGTAGAATAAAAGACTAAGACTCTTTTTAAGACTAAGACAAAGAGCTGTAGAATAAAAGATAATAAAGCAGTACTGATGCCAGAAAAATCTATATAAGATAAGCAAATAAATTGAAAGTAAGAAAATTTATGTTTGAGTGGGCTGGCAAGTAAAGGAAAATGGACAATTAATAAATTATATAATTCTTAATATTAACTGAGAGAAAAATATTAGTTTATCAGGAAAAAACCAACATATTTTGTCCTAATATTAAAACTTTAGCTTTATAGTTAAGAACATAAAGAACATACTGATAAAGATGACCAAATGCTCCCATAAGAAAATGAATGTATAAATAGTTCACAGAACCATGCTACTGCAGATTTTATATTTCCCATTTAAGTAGAACAGTACCCTTGAAGTGAAAGAGTTCAAAACTCATTTTTTTTCTCATTTTAGAAATAACAGTATTTTTATTTTCTTAATGGAAAGTTGTATCTGATTATCAAGTGATTATCATTAGTGACTTCCGCTTCTCAAAATATGGAATAGACATATTTCCTTATTCTTTCCGCTAAATACATCTGAAAATCATGGACATTATATATAGAACAAATACAAGAAGACTCGGAAGAGTGGAGAAAAGAAGGCAGAATGGCTAGATGACCCAAGGAACAATGAAACATTGGGTTCCCAGGTTTTCTTTTGCCTCATTTCTGGGTACTGGGGGATTTGGCAAACTAGGAACACCAATGGGCACAAACAATAAAAGCTCTCTTTAGGCCAAGGATTAGAAAATTGTCAGCCTGGAGACACAAGAAACTTCAGAAAATAACCACTCTACTCCCACCATACACCACAGACAAAAAAAAAAAAAATATATATATATATATATATATATATATCAAAACAAAAGAACCCACCCTTGCCAGCAAAGCCTGAAGGGAGAATTAAATTTCCACCTCATGAGGTTGTAATAAGGTGTCCCAATCCTCACTCTCCTGCTGCGGTAGCGTCAGAGAAGGCCAATGGAAGAGCCAGAAATGTCTTCATCAAGAAGCCTGGCCTCAGTGCACTGCCGTAGCTCCCCAAAGGCTGGGTGAAGGGAAAAATATGCAAATCAATAGCTTTGAGGCATGGCAGGACTTCACTGAGTAGACTTTGGAGAAAAGGTCCTCCAAAGGTTAGAGATAAGGTAAGAGGTTGGAACAATGTCTTCCAAGGTGTAGAAATCTAGGGGTGGGTCTGGAAGGAAATGAGAACACACTAGAAATGTTTAAAAAATAATTTTTCATTGTGAAGTAGAAGAAGATCTTCCACAGTGGTTTAATCACCTTCTCTTCACCCCATTGGTGAGGTAGGAATTCCCACTTTAGGGTTATAGGAATGGTTGAACACATGACGTCCAGTGTTGACTTGATGAGATTGGCAGCAGTTTATACAT